GTTCTCCTTTTCTTGTCTTTATTTGAATCATCTGTTGTACTCAACACGGGGACTTCTTCAAACCTCACTCCTGCACGAACATCATCCTCCTTGTCAGGATATACTTGCAGTTTGTCTTCTGCTTCTTGCAGTTCTTCTATTTCTTCCGCATCATATTCACCCTCATAGTCATTGACAGAATATAATTATTCTTGGGGAACGCTCGAAGTTACACTAGAAGATAAGATAATCAATTCAAGGTAAACAAAACACAAAGCGATGAGTCGATCGGGAATTGACAAGCGTTGATGTGTGGCTCTCAACGCTCTCATCCAATGACACGTCATATATCTATTTTACTACTAATTACTATAGGACCCATAAGACCGCTGATGATTGAATCGTATAGGTCCGAATCACAAACCTGTTCTTGATACAATTCTGTCACTCCCCAAATGGGTGAGTGATTGAGGACCTAGTCCTCGCCAGCTGTGTCACCTACCCAAAAGAGTAGTGTACGTAGCTGCGGCCATATCTGTTGATATCCCCAATGCTTGCTTAGGATATCAGCCGGGTTTTTGACACCATTTGACAGAATTCTATCAGGAACGGGATTTGTGACCCGGACCATGATTATTCACGGTTGAAGTGAAGTCTGTGCTTTGAACGTATTGTACGTGCGCAGACCGTTCTCAGCCAGTGATATTATCGTAGAAAGAACCGACGTGGCAGGTTCCGCAATCGTGCGTAATATTCTGCATGAAACAAGCGAGGATTGTCCAATCCTCACTGAATGCTTTTTACTTGAATTGATAACGATCAACTTGTAGGAACTAGTCAACTATAGGCTTATAGTCTATTTTCATTTATTTCTGTCAGATTAACAGTCGCAGTTACGCCTACAGCTAACTGTCGCGATTTCCCCATCAGAAATCGCCCAATTCGTCTCCCATCAGAAGACAAAAACACAACAACTTGCGGATCGGATTTCACAGCGTTTTCGCAAGTTACTGAGCTCCCATCAAGCTCATATTATCTCAGTCACACACACACAGCTGACTGCAGCGATTGTCCTTCAGAATTTCGCTGATCTCGTCTTCCATCAAAGACGAGGACAATCAACATTTTGGAATTTGTCTTACCATCAAAAAGGACGAACCACACAACAACTCGCGGATCGATTTTCAGGCTTTCGCAAGTTCTTTGGGCTACCATCAAGCCCATCCTCTACCACCACTCGAATTTAATAATCCTTTGGGGTTTTTCATACCCATACTTTTCAGTTTGAGTGAAGAACTCGTCAACGATTGGCAACGAGTTATTTTCAAGTTTTGGTCCCACGACGACTCGGAGTTTTTCGGCTTATTGTGGAGTGTTGGCATTGAGCGGCCCACTTGCCCTTGCCATTCGATTTGGAGTATTTTAATTCAAGAAAGCGCTGAGTCTTGCCAGCTCGTGCTGCCCCTGTTCACCTCCTTCTTGTCGTCAGGAGTTTTCAACGGAGCAAGGGATCCAATTTCTCCTTTTGATTGAATAGCTTCTGTGGTGGAAGTCTCAAAAGCGAGAGATCACCTTCTTGGTGCAAATCAAGAAGTAAAACGATCTGGAAAGGGCAGTTGTACACCCAATCCTGCAGTCCTACACCAGCACATCAGGAAACAAACGTTCAGGCGTGTTGTTTCAATTTTAATTCGACCATCTTCTGGACCCTCAGCAACTCGTCTGTCTGTCGGCCAATTTCCACGGGGAAGCACTTTTCTTTTGTCTTCCCCCATTATGTTTTGCAGTCAAGTTTAGGGGCCCCAAGTTCTACTTTTGGGTCGAATCGAAACACGACAAACCAGTTCGAAACACGACAACAGATTCCGAAACGCGACAACAGAATTTGAAAGACGACAAACCAATTCGAAAGACGACAAACTCGAATGAAACACGACAAATCAATTTGAAACACGACAAATCAATTTGAAACACGACAAACTCGAATGAAACACGACAAATCAATTCGAAAGACGACAAATCAATTTCGAAAGACGACAAATCAATTCAAAAGACGACGACAACAAACCAACCTCGAACTCATCATCACTGATGTATCAATTGACGAAAAAGGATCGTAGGCAAAATCTTTGGTTCGAGTTCCGTCTTCAAATCACCCACAAGATGCAAAAGCACATGACCCTTTCATCATCATCATGATACTGGCTACAAAGAGAAAGCTTCGTTGCTGAAGTCCTCACAAAATTCATCACGCCCGCCCAAACCTGTTCATGGTCTAAAGTAGAAGCGACGGACGGCAGAAAACCACGAAAATACGCTCATGATCGAGAACTATCGCTACGTCAAGGTCACGAAGGAAGGCGACAATATGCCTCTTTTGGAGGACCCGGTGAAACATTAGCTCCAGGCGGGAAGGGGCCTAATATCAAGTGCCATCATTGAAAGGCACAAAGGATTCCATTTGGAGATGTGACGAAAATGTTACTAAAATTAAATCCAACAATAAACAGGATTTGGATTAATGTCAAGCTCCATCCGACTTCTCGCAATATTCTCATTCCCGTTCTCAAGTTTGAGTTCTACTACAACCCAGATGCGGTTGCCTTCAACGATGATCGGGCTACTGGCGCCTCAACTGGTTCGGCAAGTGTCACAATCATTTTAGATGACATTCGTCAAAGGAAATGCGTGATCGAGCAGAATTTTGAAAGAAATGCTTTTCAAAGAACATTCTATATCTACTGTTGAGATTTGTATCACATGTTGTAGTGAAGTCGCAGGGATCATAGAATACATGTGTAATACGCTGGTCTTTTTTTGGTCTAGAACTCTTGTTTATTGTCTTTACATTTATCTACAGCATCTTCAGTCAGAATGTTATAGAGTGGTGAAGACTCCTCTTGAATGAAATGAGACCACGCATCCACAATAGCCGATTGTCCACTACCGAAATTCCAAACCCGTGGCGTATTATTGTATCTGTGAAGGTAGTATCGGGGATCTTGACTGCAGTCCGAATGAGAAGGCTCATTGATCGATCCAACGGCGACTATCATCCATCGACAGCACCCAACTCTTACCTTTCTGACCAGTTTCTTCCCAAACAAAATCACCTATTGAATCTTTTTGATCGTTTCCCATGTTTTGATCGTTGACCAAAAAACTACTTTTCGAAGACAGTAAAGCCCCATTAAGAAGAAGTACTTGAGATCTTCGTCTCCTTCTTTGATCTTGGTGTCTGCAATGTTGCTTAGTTGCAGGTCGGTCTAGATCCAAACTGCAGGGCAAGGAGAGACTCCAAAATGGTGCTTGAAGTGGAAGACATTCGTCTTTCCCTTCGCACATTTGATTCCCTTAACGCGTAGTATCATCCCCAATAGAGAAAGGCCGTGATATTCGTCATCTCCGATGGAGTGAGGATGTGGTTCATGGGCGGATATTCGTCCGATGATAAGACCATGAGAGATAGGCGAGAATGCTGCATAATACAACTACCTGTATTTCCACAACTTCAAGCTGAAACAAAAGACAACAAGAATTTCGAAAGACGACAAGAATTTTCGAAAGACGACAAAAAAGTTTCGAAAGACGACAAAGAATTTTGAAAGACGACAAGATTTTTCGAAAGACGACAAGATTTTTCGAAAGACGACAAGAAATTTGGAAAGACGACAAACCAATTGGAAAGACGACAAACTCGAATGAAACACGACAAATCAATTTGAAACACGACAAATCAATTCGAAACACGACAAAATATTTTTCGGAAAACCATAAATCCCCCTTTGAAACAACTCCCCCTAATGAATCACATATCAGCTCCCCGTAAATTCAATATGCAAAATCCCCTAAAAACGACGAAGGACGGACGAGTTGCGGAGGGTCCTGACTCCAACCAGTCAACTGGTCTTCTGATCAACTGAGTCGACTGAGTTTCATTCCTCTGAGTCAACTCCTGCATGGTCCGGATCGGTCAAAGAGAATTGCAAGCTCTGAACATTGACACCAACATCACTCAACTGCCCGCCACTAGTACAACTCAACCATCAGGCACACGAGTGACAATGTCCACTGCTGGCAACTCAACAACAAACCGCAACCCGTCTCGAGTCCTACAACCTGGACATCTTGAAACTAGTCTTGTGTACATCCTGGAAACTGTCTTTGGCTACAGTGCTGGCAGTATTCTTCATCTCGCACTTGACTTGTATGGTTGCAAATGTTACCTTGACCTTGTTGGCATAGATGATGCTGATATTGACGGACTACAGTATCCTGTCAGTCAGCCACATGATGCTAACGGTGACCCTCAACCTGATGTACTTCAGGATGTGCCAAAACCTCTTAAGGCATATCTCCATGGGATCCGTGGCTACATCTACCACCGCGAAACTGTGCTCAAGGATCCAGTCACCCTGTCTAACTGTATCCTCATTGATCCTGATGACTTTGATACATACAGGGCCTCCAGCGCATTCATCGTGTTCCGCAGCCGCACCATCCCACAGCCTCTTGTCTCCAAGCCATCTTGACGTTCACCAGCTGAGGAATTTGATCGGGGCATTAAACTAGATGCCAACCTCTATCCAACTTTGTCTGATGATAAGCAATGGGATAGCTACCGTCGTAATCTAGAAGCTACTTGCCGCACTCACAGATTGAAACAGGTCCTTGACCCCAAGTACCAGCCCACCAGCCTTGATGAGCGAGACCTCTTTGACTGACACCAATCCTTCCTGTTTGTCCGGACCCTCCTCACCGATCAAGGCAAGAAGATTGTTAGACAATATGATAAGACTTACGATGCCCAGTCCATCTACCGGGATCTATGCAAGTTTTATACTCAGTCTATCAAGGCCACTTCGACCGCCAACACCAAATTGCAATGGTTGACCACTGCTCAACTCACTGCAGACCAATGGCGTGGTAGTCATGTGTCCTTCATTCTTCATTGGCTTGATACTCTTCGCCAGTACCACGAGGTAGCAAAACACCCGACCCCCGAGGAGCAACTCATCGTCATGTTGTCCAATGCTGTCAGACTTGTGCCATACCTTCGCAACGTGTTCGACACTAGCGAACAATTGGCCTTGCAGAACAACAACAGACCACTTACTTTTGACGAGTATGCGTCACTCCTGGAGGCAGCAGCCCAAAACCATGATGAGGTCACCAAAGGATCCAAGCCCAAGCCCAATCCTAGGAAGGCATATGCTACTGATGTTGTCACCACTGGTGATCTTGAACCAGATCCTTGCCCTCCCATGTTTGACTTCAACATTGACATGGACCTTGGCGACTACTATGCTTACCGCACGTCTTTGTCATCTGCTCGCAAGACCTTTCTACCTAACGAACTGTGGCAACAATTAGATGATCAAGGTCGACGTGCCTGGCATCAACTTCCTGAAGCTGCTAAAGCTGTCATACTTGGTGGTTCCAACAAACCTTTGCCGCCACCACCACCCCCACCGCCCCCACACCGTTCTGTCAACTTGCATGATATGTCGGCCGCTGATTTCCTTTCTCAGTTTCAGCATTCGAGCATGGGGAGTGATGTAGGTACTCTGACTTCTGAAACGGATGAAGAGCCCACACCTGACAAACTTTTAGCTCATGTCACCAAGCACTCTTCCCTACAGCCTGGGGAGCTACAACGTGTCATGTCAGACAAGTTAGCTTTGGTTCCTGCAACCAAACATCGCAAAGGCAAACAAGAAGCCAAAAATCACGAGATCGTCATAGATGGGGTACGGTACAAAGCATGTGCAACAACTATTACCTACTCTGTCCTCCGTGTTAGCACTCGCAAGAATTTGGCTCTAGTTGATCGAGGTGCAAATGGTGGAATCGCAGGTGATGATGTCCGCATCATTGTCAAAACCAACCGCTCTGTTGATGTGCAAGGCATTGACAATCATCAAGTGACCAATGTTACAATTGCCACTTGTGCCGGCCTCACCATGACTCAGCGCGGTCCTGCTATTGTAATCATGAACCAGTTTGCTCACATTGGAAAGGGACAGTCAATCCTTTCCAGTGCTCAGATGGAACACTTTGGAATTCAAGTCGATGACAAATCATCAAAAGTTGGAGGCAAGCAACAGATCTCCACTCCTGATGGTTTTGTCATCCCACTTGACATCAAGAATGGACTTCCGTACCTACATATGCGCCCTCCAACAGACTGTGAGCTGAGCAACCCGGAAATTCCCCATGTCGTGCTCACTTGTGATGTTGATTGGGACCCTAGTGTTTTGGATGTTACCATTGATGTGGATGAATGGACCAAGTCTATACCAGACGATGGGTCTGAAGAAGGTGAAAGGCCATTGGATAGGGTAGGCATCCTCAAGAGCAATACAACAGTCACTACACTGAGGGATTCTCCTGCTCTGGATGATGCCATTGACTTCTTTGAATCCCACCACTGTGTCATGCCGACAGATGGTTTGTATGAAGTGCATCCCCGACAAGCTTCAGATCTCGATTGGTTTGAGTGCAACATGGCTGAGCTATTTGATTTAGACCCCACCTATGTGACACCAATCATACCTCCAGAGTTTGAAGTTTACGAGTCCCATCGACGACCATCTGTTCTCTTTGTCCCTGAGGCACCTATCGACTTTGACATTGAGTCTACTCCACTGCGAGACAAGCTCATAGACTCTTCTCACAAGTCGTCATTCTCTAAACCCCGACGCAGCTCACGCCGCAAGACATGTTCTGAGGATGGGAGATGGAATTCGAAGGACAAAACGGAACAACCAAGCCCGCCACCACATGACCCAAATGCCTATGAGTCGGTCCCTGTAGTGGAACCTGTCTACAAGAACCCGAGCTCAGCAGTAAAATTGCGTGAACATGACTGGGAACGCCTTCGCAAGTACTTTGCTTGGCTACCCAAGCTGGTTATTCAGAAAACATTTGACTGTACCACACAACTAGCACGAATACCTATGAGCGCACAATATCAACCGCCGTAGTGAAGGAGTCGCTACAGATACTGTCTATGCAGACACACCCGACATTGAACATGGTCATGTAGCGGCACAATTCTATGTGGGGATCTCCTCTCTTGTCAGTGATGTATATGGTGTCAATACCAATGCACAATTCCTTCAGACACTTCAAGATAATGTACGAAAACGAGGAGCACCCAGCAAACTTGTGAGCGATCGTGCGCAGGCTGAGGTTTCCAAGGCAGTGAAGGACTACCTCCGATGGCTCTGCATTGATGATTGGCAGAGTGAACCACATCGTCAGAACCAGAACCCGGCTGAACGAAGGTACCAAGACATAAAGAGACTGGCCAACAGGATTCTAGATCGAACTGGAGCACCTCCAAGCCTTTGGCTTTTGGCACTTTGTTACGCTTCTTTTGTCTACAACCACACTGCTGTGCAGAGCTTAGGATGGCTGACTCCCATCCAAGTGCTCACTGGCATTACTCCAGACATAAGTGTTCTTCTCCGCTTTGCATTTTATGAGAAGGTATACTATAGAACGGAGGAACCCAGCTTCCCTTCTGATTCGCCTGAATCCATTGGTTATATGGTAGGCATCGCCGAGCATGTTGGTCATGCAATGACATACAAGATCCTCAACCCGGAGACAAACAAAATCCTGTTTCGGTCTGAGATCCGCTCTGCAGCCTCACCCAATGACCCCAACAAACGTCTTGATCCATCTGATGGGGAGGAGTTGCCATCCCCTACAGTAATCAAATCCAAATCAGACAATGTCAAATCTGTTGTTTACTCTAGTGATGATGAGTCAGATAAAAAGGACGTTGTTGTCGAGAACAAAGATCTCATTGGTCGTACCTTTCTCATGCAACCCAACGAAGAAGGACATGTACATCGTGCCAAGATCGTGGAACTCATCGATAAGCACAATGACAAGACAACCAACAACCCAGCACATCTCAAATTCCGTGTCTGTATCAACAATGACCAGTATGAAGATGTGATGGCCTACAATGAGATTTTGAAGAGACTGGAAGCTGATGAAGAGAATCCAATTGTTTGGAAGTTCAAGCGAATCGTGTCACATCAAGGACCACTTTGACCTGATCATCCATCATATATGGGTTCCACTTACAATGTAACAATGGAATGGGAGAATGGGGAGATAACCCCAGAACCACTGAGTATCATTGGAGCCGATGACCCAGTGGCTTGTGCAATCTACGCAAGGGATAACAACCTACTTGATACCCCTGGTTGGAAGCGTTTTAAAAGCATAGCAAAGAGAGAGAAGAAGCTTCTTCGCATGATCAACCAGGCCAAGCTTAGATCGTTTCGTACTGCACCAAAGTACATGTACGGTTACGAGATACCAAAGGACTACAATGATGGACTTCGACTTGACAAACTTCACGGCAATACCAAATGGGCAGATGCCACCAAGGTCGAGATGGACCAGCTAGCAGAGTACAAGGTTTTTATAGATTTGGGAAAAGGAACTCCTATCCCAAAGGGTTTCCAAAAGATTTGAGTTCACCTAGTCTACGCCTGCAAACATGATGGTAGACACAAGGCCAGACTTGTCGCTGACGGGCACCTGACCGATGTAACAGTAGACAGTGTCTACCCTGGTGTGGTATCCATACGTGGACTGAAGATCATGATCTTCCTTGCTGAATTGAATGGCCTGGACCTACCGTATGGGCCACAGATATTGGTATTGCCTACCTTGAGGCCTACACTAAGGAAAAGGTGGCCATAGTAGCCGGACCAGAGTTTGGGGAGCTACAAGGCCACACTCTTATTGTAGCAAGAGCATTGTACGGATTACGTTCGAGCGGAAAGATGTGGCATCAAAGATTTTCTGCCTGTTTGAGAGAGGAGGGGTTCTTTCCTTGCAAGGCAGAACCGGACATCTGGATGAGACCGTTACCGGACGGGTCGTCATATGAATATGTTGGCGTATATGTTGATGATCTGGCCATGGCAATGAAAGACCCAAAAGCTTTTGTGGTTAAACTGATCAATGTCTACAAATTCAAGCTTAAAGGTACTGGACCACTCACTTTCCACCTGGGATGTGATTTTGGAAGGGATGAACATGGCGTTCTTTACATGAGCCCCAAGAAATACATCGAGCGCATGGTAGACACCTACGAACGCATTTATGGAGAGAAACCAAAGACAAATGTAACCTCGCCTTTGGAGAAGGGAGACCACCCTGAGTGTGATACCACTGATCTATTGGATCCAGAGGGCGTCACTCAATACCAATCCCTGGTCGGCCAGCTTCAATGGGCCATTTCCTTGGGGAGACTGGACATAGCGACTGCTATCATGTCCATGTCAAGCTTTCGTTCTGCCCCTAGAGTAGGACACCTCCACAGAGTGAAACGAATTTGTGGATACCTAGTGAAGATGAAGCACGCTTGCATTCGCTTCAGGACTGGAATGCCTGACTA